AATTTATTTTCTATCTTTCATAACCTCTCTTAATATCTTGTAATCATGATCCTGAAAACTCAATAAATCCCTCTTTAAACCCACAAACCGACTCCTAGAGTCCTGATTCTCTGATTCACCCATATAGTGGCAACCCCAATCATCATTTTAGAGAATGTTAAATACATTCATAAAGCAGAGAATAATAACCACACCATTCTGAAACCTATAGTTTAATTATTGGTATCAATAAACCCACGATATTTTATTGTCGCAATATCTCATCTAAAAATGTGGAGAAATCAAAGCTTAACCCATCCTTTGTCAATCAGATTAAATATTAGAACTTAATTCTACACTCATCAAAAAAAGAAAATGAAAAGGGAGAGAATTTGAAACACAATGTTACAGTTTGGATTTTCTTGATATGCGTTTGATATGTAACTCAAACTAACATCGGAAACAGCCCCGAGCTAGGATCTTCCAATAGAAAAGACCCCAAGCCCAGTTCCAAGAAAATGACCAGACTAGTTACAAGAGCTAGTAATGATGTATATACACAATTGCGCCTAAACTCATTCACCTGCACACAATGTCCCCGCACACCAACAGGGGCACCTACATGTGTGCCTGAAAATGTAAACATATATGCATCAAAGCTGCTAAAAGTTAATCATTCATGTGATACCAGATATACTACATCAAATTCAACTAAAACCTACCTCTTATACTAATATGCAGTTTAGACATTTAAACAAACAGTTTGTAGGTACAGAAGATAAGCAAACACCATAGATCAAAACAACGCAGGCAACCAAAAAGAGAAGCCCCTAATCAAATCTACCATTAAAAAAAAGTAGTAAGATCCACTCAAATTGGCCAAGACCATGAACCAATGCTCCATACAAGGTACTGACCGCAAAGATACAAACACGATGAAAACCCATAAGAACCTAAAAGAAAACAGGAAATTTACCGACCGGGATGTTGTGGAAGGAACTTGCAAAATTAGAGCGAGGAACTGAAAGCTGGGAGAAAAGAAGGCAGAAAGATGGAGAGAGAAGGAGGTGCTAGTGAAAAAGCCATCATGAATAGTGATTTGGATTGATTATTGGCTCAAAGACATAAAGATCTAGCAAAAAAATGCCATGTTCCATCTCATGAAGCAAAAATACAAACACAGATTATGATTCAAATTCCAACAATTTTTCGCCACTCAGTTCTCAATTACCATAATTCAAAAACAACGATAAAGAACCCAAAACGATATAAAGGGTAAACAAGTTCGTATAACAGCAAAAAAGATTATCGTTTTCGCTTCTGCTCATCAGCACCCAAATGAAGAGTAACAAGAGAACCGCTAATAAACCCTAGGAAATCAGAGCTAGTTTAAAAGAGAAGCAAAAGGAGATTAGAGAAAGGAACCTGTGAGAAGGAAATTGAACTTCTGTCGATAGGGTTTGGAGTGAATGAGGAAAAGAAAAACAGAGAAGGGTTTTATATAGTTCCTATTGACTTGAATGATTGTGAATGTTAGTCGAGAAAAGGAGAAGGTGAAGGAAACAAAAATTGTGTGTCAATAAAACTTCACAAAATAGGAACGATATATATATATATATCATTTTTTTATTTCCTGACCAAAATCATCAAGTAATTGAATGTATCTGCATATTTTAATTTTGGTTCTGAAATTTCATTTGTAATTTATATTAATCAACTGAAAACGGAACGATATTAATTTTATACGCCATCTTAGCTCATGCAAATAACGTTCTCCTATTCCACCATTACAGCTCACACAACTATATCTTCCCAATTAATTAACAATTTTTTTTTTTTTTTTAAAAATTCCTCACATTTTCCCTAAAAATTATATATATATGTGTGTGTGTGTGTGATGCGAATGCAATATTATTTGTTTATTTTTCTCATGCAAGCACTGCAGTTGACCTACCATATTATAATTTATAATATACATATGTATATAATATATAGATAAAGAGAAACCTTTTGTAGTTGTGAGGAGCTGGAATTAATATCTCACTTTCTTGTTATTAATGGAAATTAAGAAAGCCCCCAAAAAAAGATACAACAGTTTGTTTTTTGTTCTTAATTTTATTTGATGAGATAGATTTATTGGAGGGTCTTTTATTTTTTCCTTTTTGGTTTGGTTGCTTGATTGGATTTTTTAGTATCATCTTAAGCTATATATTATGGTTCTGACTTGTCTTCCTTCTGATGCTTATTCAATACACACTCACACACACACACATATATATATATATATGTAATTTTCTGGAATCTCTTTTCATTTCTCTGTCAGATCACATTGACTTAGGATTAAGTGACATATATATAGCAAGTCAAATTCCATCCACGTTTGGCAGTTGGCAGTTTGTTCTAATGGAATCTCTTATATGTATATTTTACAGGCAACAAATTCGCATATATCTATCTATATGTGTGTATGATCCGTATGAATTTTGCTATTGATAAAAACCTGAGATCACGATGATGGGAAGACTGAGACGTCTCGTGGGATCCAAAGCTTGGGATTACTGTGTTCTTTGGAAATTGAGTGAAGATCACAGGTTATAAATTATACACATATATATACATGCACACACACCAGAGAAAATCGATTATATACGTGTATTTGGTATTTATTTTGTGTGGGATTTTACATAGTGATTAAATATATAGGTTTCTTGAGTGGGTAGATTGTTGTTGTGGTGGAGCTGATCATATAAGCAGTAGTGAAGATGGTGGAGAAGAAGTGAACAAATTTGCTGGATCTGAATCTCATCTTCCCTGCAAAGATATGATGATTCAACATCCAGTTACCATCTCCTGTCCACTGCTTGCCCAACTTCCTTCTTCCATTTCTCTCCACTCTCCTGGGTACAATTATATATTTAATTCAATATATATGTGTATATATCTACTCTCCAAGATCGTACATCTAATTATTTCTTATTACATAAACAGGATTCATGCGCAAACTTTGATATCAAACCAACCCAGTTGGTTTAAATCCTCCAATATTATTAATTCAGACTCAGGTGCTTTGGAGGTGATCATTTGTTAATCCTTACAGTTTAATGATTTAAGCATTGAGTTAATTAACATTATTAATTCTGTTTAAATAACTTAAAACAATTATATATGCAGGAAACAGTTGGCACTAGGGTTTTGATTCCAGTACTGGGAGGACTAATTGAGCTCTTTGCTACAAAACAAGTATAGTTGTTTCATCTTTAATTTCCCCCTTACAACTTATTCTTCTATATATCTTCTATAAAAAGATACAAACACACATCTATTCATATATATATATATATATATATCTGCAGGTAAGTGAAGATCAAAATATTATAGATTTCATCACAGATCAATACAACAATATGTCAATGGAGCATGAACCAGTTATCAAATACTCAAGCAATATGGATCCCAGTAACTTTGCAGTTAATAATATTGTACAACATTCTATGAACACTGAACTTGGGTCAGAGTCTTTGATCTTGGCTGATGATCAAGTACCTCTAGAAATAGAAGTAGATCAAAACAATCTGGGTCTGCCAAATGACATCTGCGTTGATCGAATCTCTTTATGCAGCCCCTCTCCAATGAACTTTCACCAATTCAATTACGCTGGCAGCTCAGATAATAAAATCAGACAAGATTATAAAAATCATCATCATCATCGCCATGTCGGCTTCTTTGAAGAACCATCACATGATCATCATTTCTTTGCAGTGGATAACCCATTAATGGACTCATTTAGACATTCAGACAACCATAATGAGATTCAAGAAATGGACACATTGCAAAACTCAATGATACCCAATTCAGAGTCAAACATGCACATGCAATACATGGATGCTTCTGGGATTATGGATCAGCAAGGAAATAATTATCATGAGAAGGACTGTGTTAAAAAGGAGATCAATGGTCGATCTGATTCAGATTGCAGTGATCAGAATGACGA